TGCATGTTGGGATATATAACTTCCAAACCACCCTGCTAAATTCCAAAAATACATCCATATGATAGGAGATCCAGAATTCTCAAACACAGCAGCCCTGTTTCGAGATAACAATCACAACTCTGCACATGAGTTTTCATTGTGAATAATTATTTTAGAAAGGTCAAACTGGGAGCATAAGAAAGATAAGGCATAAACAAAGTATTTGACTCTTCTCCATTTTAATCACCTTAAGGCCCCCTTACAAACACAAGGGAGGGCCGAAATGGTTATTCGTAACCTGCCACCTGAACATGAATGGCAGCTTCTGTTTTCTGACTGATCCTGTGGGGACTGAAAATAGCCTTTCAGCAAATTCATCAAAGCCAAATTAGGAAACTTCTGGGCTGTGTGCCAAGAGTTCGAGAACCCGTCATTCCACAAAAGGGCTTGTTGTGAAGTCCAGAGAGCTACATGTCACTTTCACAGCGCACCCTGTACTGTGAAATCAATTTTCTACTTATAATCTCCGCAGCTTCAAGATGACCAAGCTATAGGGAGACCTGCTGTGATAGGAGCCTCAATTAGACCGCATCCCTTGCTCATCTTCTAGCCTTCCGCTTAAAATTCTAGGCCTTTTTGTAAGCTTCCTTGTGTTCATTTGGTAAGTTTACTTCAGAAGCGGGAGATCAATACTGTAACTTTAAAATTAAACTTTAACTTGATTAAAAGTAAGCCTGCAATTTTACCCATAAAACCTTAAATTCTCCACATGCCTTTTTTGGAGATTGGTTTCATTGGGTAAGGAGATTTTACTTCCAAGGAAGCCTATACAGGATGAAATGTCTTTAGCTACAATGCTTCTTAGGATCCATAAATTGATTACTGTATGCTGTTACTCAAGATGGGAAAATTACGTTAAATTGTTACTCTGGAATTCAAAATCTGTTCTGTTCTGAAAAGCCACCTGTTAGCAGGATCATTGCTACATACAGGGTAGCATCATTACCTCACCACTCTTCAAAGTATGGGCAGAGAATGTGAGAATAATTTTACTTTATTGATGCTGTCCATCTCATTGTCAAACAACATTCAACATAGGGAGAGACAAGGAAAAGCAAAGGACTATAATAACAGGAATAAACATGACTCACATGTGTTTCATTTATATGAACTAATAGCACAATCCCATTTGGATTTACTTGGAAGTAATCCTGTGATTCAGGGGATATATTCTCAAATAGAATAGACTATATATATTAGATGTGGATTTAAGAAGTTATGTAAAATAGATCAGGAAAAGAAGAGTATAGGAAATAATAAAAAGGAGAATCACAGATTCATTTTAGAAGCCACACCTGAATTGGGGGAGCCGGGGACAGACTCTGAAAACACACTTGCAAATTAAAGTTGGAATTTATGAATTGGACCATCCAATCGGTTGATTTTTCATCTAACAATATTCTTAATGGAGGGGAGGGGGGGAGCCTAACCATAGAAATACAGGTAGGCCTTTGCCAATTAAGATGTTCATAAAAATTAGATAAAATAAAACCGAGTCTCTATATAGTAAGATTTTTTTTCTCTCAATCACCCAAAGCATTTTCATTTCAGGTATTTTATACAGTATCTCATTGTTAGCCTGAAGAGAGAATATTTTTTCCAGAAACATGCAAGATAATGAAATGAAAAGTTGCCTTTACTTTTTACTTTGTCCTTTGCTCTATCAAACGGACTATTTTATCAGTATGGACTTTATCCTGGGTTCACTTCTGAAGTACTTTTTGCTCATTTCACTCTAACCAGGTCCTTAATTTCTCAACGACCAGGTAACCTAAGCCTTATTGCATCCTGATTCACAGAGAATCAGGTGACTCACAAAGGCTTTGATAATATCAAAAGCACCTGGAGGGAGTTTCAGCACATCCATAGAAATTTGCCTGATTTAATTCTGAAATTTGAGGGTAAAACTATATCCTGTACAGTCATAATTAGTGTTCCAAAATAAACTATTGCTTTTTTTCATTCTGCTTTACAATTTTGTAGTTTAACCCTTCAAAAATGTTTAGTGCTGTTGCAATCCAGCCCTTGCATTATTTTCAGTGTCCTTAATTCTACTATATCTACTTTTAACATTAGCATATTTGTAGCTCAGGGTTGAACTGAGAGATCCTTGGTGCGCTATGAGCTTGGTTGTTTTCTTGCAGACATTACCAGTCATTACCAAACTACGTAACATCATCAGTAAAAGGTAAAGGTTTCCCTCACACATATATGCTAGTCATTTCCGACTCTAGGGGGCGGTGCTTATTTCCGTTTCAAAGCCAAAGAGCCAACGCTGTCTGAAGACGTCTCCGTGATCATGTGGCCAGCATGACTAAACGCCAAAGGTGCATGGAACGCTGTTACTTTCCCACCAAAGGTGGGCCCTATTTTTCTACTTGCATTTTTTACGTGCTTTCGAACTGCTAGGTTGGCAGAAGCTGGGACAAGTAACAGGAGCTCACCCTGAGCGGCACTAGGGATTCTACCGCATAGCTCCCAGCGACTGGTAAGATCCCACAGAGCTGATCTCCTCCGGGTCCCGTCAGCTAAACAATGTCAGTTGTTGCCCGCGGGAGAGGGTCTTCTCTGTGACTGCCCCAGCTCTCTGGAACCAATTACCTCCTGAGGTCCGGACCACCCCCACCCTATTGGCCTTCCGGAAAGTGGTGAAGACCTGGCTTTTCCAGCAGGCCTGGGGCTGTTGATCTCGCTATAGCGATCTTGCGAGACCCGGCCATGGAATGGAGTGGATGGGTTTTTAATGTTTTCTTTTAAAAAAAATTTACGGAATATTGTTCACATTGTTTTTTGCTGAAAGCCGCCCAGAGTCCCTAGGGAGTTGGGCGGCATAGAAATGCAACTAATAAATAATAATAATAAATAAATAAATAAATAAATAAATTCGAACCGCTGAACTGTCGACCTTTCAATCGACAACCAAGCTCGGAGAGCACCATGGACCCCACATTTTTAATGAAGGCTGCAAATATTGAAAAGGGGAGTGTATCAATGCCATTTGAACCAAGAATGCAGATCCACATCATTCAATGTCAGAAGAATATCCAATTGAGGACATTAATGTCAACAGCCCAAAGTTATTAACATTTGAATAACTCACACATTTTTTTTCCTAATGATTTCCTGGAGTCAGGAGTGTAGAGACAGCCACATTGTTGTCCTTTAAAAGCTCCCTATTAATATGAAAATTAACTCAGGTGTGGTAACAACTATCAACCCAGTTTAGTGATCTCGAGTGGGTAGTTGAAAAACAAATCAGAGAACTCATATGATTTAGTGATTATTAAAGCTTTAATCTAAAGATGAAGAAACTCTGGTTTGAATCCTGATGTGCCCATACTGCTATGCCATGTTTACTACCACTATTGGCTAATTCTCGTAAGTGAAGCTGTAGATTGTTTCCAAACCACAATGACCTCAAGAATTAAGAGGGAGGATGAAAAAAGCCAACTCAGGACACCATTTCTTATTTACCATGTTCTTAAAACTACCAGCTGGTAAATCTGTCCAAATGCTATTCAGGGTTAATTCTATACTTTCTTCTCATCGCATTTCAAGGGCACAAAATGGGCATATGTTCTCCCCAAATGATACTAACTTTCTTCCCTCCCTCTACCTGTCAGCTGCAATCTGGTCCTTCAAACAGCCAAGATTATAGACATGGAACTTTTTTTCAAGTTCCATGTATATAATCAAGTTCCATGTCTATAATCAAGGATGTGGTGGCTCAGTGGCTAAGATGCTGAGCTTGTCAATCAAAAGGTCGGCAGTTCAGCGGTTCAAATCCCTAGTGCTGTGTAACGGGATGAGCTCCCGTTACTTGTCCCAGCTTCTGCCAACCTAGCAGTTCGAAAGCACGTAAAAAATGCAAGTAGAAAAATAGGGACCACCTTTGGTGGGAGGGTAACAGCGTTCCATGCACCTTTGGTGTTTAGTCATGCCGGCCACATGACCACGGAGTCGTCTTCGGACAGTGCTGGCTCTTTGGCTTTGAAACGGAGATGAGCACTGCCCCCTAGAGTCGGGAACGACTAGCACATATGTGCAAGGGAAACCTTTACCTTTACCTTAGAAAGCTACTGGTCAGCTGTTTGGGGGGGGGGGGGAAAAGAAAAAACGTAAAAATTCAGCTCTATTCCTTCCTTCTTTTCTTTTTTTTTCTCCCTCCCTCAAAGAGATCAAGACGTTATAACTCTTTTGAAAGAGCCCGGGAGTTCCTACCCTTTGGAGGCTGCAGCTGTTTTGGCTTTGAGAAGAATTCAGGAGTCTCCTTGTTGTGCTCAAAGGGCTCATGTATCCACAGGACAGGGTTTGAAGTGAAAACGAGAACTGAAATTCAGGTGGGCTGAAATGGGCCTTTTAGGCATTTGCCTTTCTAGGACTGGACAGGTGAAAACAGGCTATATGCACTTTTACTCATTGTGTCCAAAATTGCACCTTGCCAACTGAAACGGTGAGCCTGTGATTAGGCGCCTTTGAAAGCAATTTCAGTCAAAATGAAATATAAATAGTTCAAACTGAGTGGAAGATGTGAGAGGGCGAGCATTATTGTACTTTGAACACATAAATAGGTTGCTCAGGAATAAATCAGCAAGAGAATGAGGTCGATGCGGTTGAAAAAGAACTATAGAGCACTCAGGACCAGTCACTGGCCTGCAATTCAACCCCTGATTTGCAAAACAAGCAGTAGTAAGAGGGGCTTATTGTGTTCTTCTCCAAGCAGGCAGCTTGGCATCAAGTTTGGAATTTAACATCCAGAAGATCTCTGCATTGGTTTAAAAACAAAAAACAAAAAGCAAGCATTGATTTCCCTAAAAATGCAGAAGGCATTTTTAGAAAACAACGTCAGAAACAACAAAAGCTGAACCAGGACCCAGAGAGAAAAAAAAAAAAAGAATTGTCATTCTTTATTATTCCTCACAGCTATCCTTATGCGAAATAAACAGGGCAGGAATAACAAAGAGTGGACATTTGTGTAATGTCATTAAATTGCAGAATCAACTTCACTTTTTTGGAAGACAAGTAGAATTGCTTGGTCGGTAGACTGAAACTATCCAATGAAGCTCTGCTCCAGATGCCTCTAGCATCTGAGATGAGCACCTGGGGGTGCCAGGTCAAGAAGATTCTTTCTGATTATGATAGTCTTCTCATTGGGATTTGTTCTCTGCAAGGTTTGCGTTGTCTTCACTACTAATGTCTGCTTGGCACCAGGCAAGTACGGTACTTTTTAAAATATCTTCCACTCTTTGAGGTTACAACTTTACATAGGACTTGCCCAGTGTAGATATTTCCTTGAACGGAGGGCATAACAATTCAAAGAAAGAAAGAACTTGAGTCACAAGCCCTGCATGAGAAGCAAAGTTCTTCACACACCCTTAACAACTTTGATGTTCTAAAGGCAAATCACAATAGCAATCATTAATGGACAATCCTAGGGGAGGGGAAGCAAGCCTCCTCAAAATCACAACCCTTTGGCCCATTACTATTCCTCAACAGCTGCCTAGAGCAAGGCTGCTTGTCCCCGCCACCCTCACCCCCATCCAAAGTTTTAAGGAGCCGAGAGACATTTGCTGAAAGGTTTCGCTGTCCGGCAATGAACAGTAGCTCAAGCTGTCATCTATTATCAGAAGGCCGGGCTGCTATGGGTTACGAAGGCATGTATGGAATATGGATGATATCTATGGCATGCTGCACTGATAGGGCTTGCAGGGATGGGGGAAGGAGGGGGAGGCATTTCACCAGAGAAGAGGGGAGGGATAGAACACAGCTGCTAAGTAAGGCCTTCTCCTCTCCCCCCGCTCAACCACCAAGAGGTGGACAAGGCTATACATTTTGGGGGGTGGGAAAGAGATGGACAGGCCACAGCCACAGGAAACTTCACACAAGACCTCTGTGCTTGAAAGATTCTTCTGTAATTCCATTTAGATCAATGACATAGAATTGCACAGACCCTTCCCAGTTTTCCTCTGGAATATGTGATGCCCGGGGGTGGGGGGGAGAGGTCTGCTAATGGGCTGACTGATGGCCTTGTTTGGTCCTGGGAAGGCATTGCCTTGCCGGCTTTTCCCATAGCTCAGGTTATGACTAGGTGGCTCAGTGGCTAAGACACTGAGCTTGTCGATCAGAAAGGTTGGCAGTTCGGCGGTTCAAATCCCTAGTACGGGTCTCCTGCGTGAGCAGGGGGTTGGACTAGATGACCTTCAAGGTCCCTTCCAACTCTGTTACTGATCTGTTGAGGACTGCAGGTTGCACTGGGTTTTATCTTTTTTCGTTGTTCGTTTTATATTTATATCCTCCCACCTGCTCACTGAAGTGTAAAAGACGGTTTAAGGGCAACAAACAATGAGTTGTTAAATACGCTCCCACCCCCCCCACCAACCCACGTGCAAAAACACAAATGTTGGGAGCCCAAGGGTTTGACTAAGTGCTCTCCAAAAACCAGATGAAAGTTTATGTACCGAGGGAGGAGAGAGTTGATTGCAAGCTCCTTTTGTCTGTTTGCCCACCACTTTTCCTTCTCACCAAAAATAGGCCTGTGAAGTAGAGACGGAGGAAATCCCACTGGCTTTAGGCGGTGAGGCTAGGAAGCTGGCCGACTCTCTGAGGTTGACAGAGGAAATTATTTACAACAGCCAGAAAATAGTCCCTTCAGGGAGCAGGTGCCTTCCTGGGGGCTTCTGAAGGAACCAGAAATATGCAGATGTTTCAATGGCCACCTTGCTTCTAAATCTCTCAGAAGATGAGGCAGGCTTGAAATGATTGTCAGAACAGCCATGTTAGCTGCACAAGAGTAAAACTTTGGGCAGACATTGGAAAGCATCTCACAGCTTCAGCCGCTGGTTGGTGGGTATAAACAGTCAGTGCCTGTGACAAGTTCTTCTCCTAGGACTGCTGACTTTTCATTGGAAAGTATGGGTTAAGGCTTGATGGGCCTAGGACTCCTTGCAAGTTTGTAGGTGGAAAATCTGGAGCCACAGCTGGGCAATCTATCTTAGCCTTCACCAGGGGTGGGTTCTACTTACCTTTACTACCGGTTCTCAAGGAAAGTGTGGATGCGCAGATCATCCATTATGACATCTGGGCGGGTGGGCGGAGCCTCCCGCCGCTTTTACTACCGGTTCGCAAGAACCGGACAGAACCAGGAGCAACCCACCACTGGCCTTCACCTTCCATGTGTGTGAAACTACAACTTCTAGAATTCTTGGTCCACGTAGCCAAGAAGAATATGACAATCTAATGCCTAAATTGGCCAAATAATGAATCTAATAGCTTCTCACATTGCTGCTAATTGGCAGAATATATAATCTCATACAGGGGATGGGAAACTATGGGCCCTTTATGACCTGTGGACTTCAACTCCCAGAATTCCTGAGCCAACCCATGCTGGCTCAGGAATTCTGGGAGTTGAAGTCTATGGGTTGCAAATTGACTGTAGTTGCCTAGTCCTGATCTAATAGATGATTGGTTGATTTAAATTCAACTCTTTCCTATAGGAGACACAATAGCAGGTCACTTGTCTCTACTGTTGGGTGTCCTCAGCCAGGATAGGGCCTACCCCTAGTACCACACACTGCGGATTTTGACCCTTGAATCAGTTCTCCTGTTCAACACTTAGGATGTATTTGGCCCACACTTCCCAGGGGTCTCAGTTGGCGTGAGAGGGAACAATCTCATGTTTTATTTTTGTTTTCAAAAACAAGTTTCTAGTCTTCACAGAGCTACCCAAACACCATTCAGAAATCAGAGAGCTACCTAAAACTAAGCATATTTAGGAACACATTTTGCCGGTGAGCTCTGAGAAATAAATCCTCTCTTGGAGAAACAAATGACACAGGACGGAGAAGTCTTAAAAGATGGACAAAATTCACTCAGCCCAACCCACCTCACAAGGTTGTTACGGCGGGGAAAGTAGAGGAGGAAGGTGTGTTGGAGATATGTTCCCCACCTTGAGTTAATTGTAAAAAATAAGAAAGGCAGGAGACAAATATAAAGAAATAAAAAACGGAGGAAAAATGGAGGGGAAGTTGTCAGGGTGACCATGTTCCTGTCTTGCTTTTTTCCCCCAGACGGGCAGGCCTGAAATAAATGACCTCCTGAGTGCCTTTTCTCCTCCCATAGAAAGAAGGGACTCCCCGCTTCTCTCCAAGGAGGGGGGCAACCGACCCAAAGTGAGGGGGGGGCTCTGCTTCCTTCCCACAGTGCTGGCCTCTGCTTTCCCTGTCTAGCCAGGGTGAGTAGGGAAGAGGCAGGCCTTTTCGGAGCGGCAGGCCGCCCTGGGGTCCTGACCCAGAGCTCCCTCCAATTAAAAGGCTGCCATGGCTACACAATGAGGAGCCTTTATGCCCTTGCATGGAAAAGGCGTAGGGCTGCCTTTCATTTTGCTGCTGCTGCGGCAGCCCATTAGGGGCTTTTTCATAATGCTGGCTTGTCAGAGCAGCCAGAAGCCTGGAACAAAAGAGCTACAGAGACAGAAAGCCCCATGTCCCCAGATTTAAAAAAGGGAGGAAAGGGGAGGGAGGGGAGAGAAATCCATGTTCTCAGCAGGGAAGACAGCTCCCTCCCGACTGGAGAAGTTGCCAGGGTGGCAGCGAGATGGAAATAGCCGGAGACAGCACAAACAGCAATACTTTGGGGGGGTCTTTGCTGCCATCACGGCCCAAGCAAGCTGAATTCGCTTTGTGAACTGGGCTGAATTCACCCTGGTGAGAAGGGTCAACTTGCCTTACCAAGGGATGCTCAAGGCTGTAAAAAGACGGACTTTTAAGAGGCCGGCAGGTGGAGGCGCCCAGGAAGAGTGGAGTAAACCTGAGCCATTCCACACAGGCACTCTTGAGCTTTCTTCCCCAGATTTGGAGGAGAGGGGGAAAAAAAAGATATGCAAATCTATGCAAGCTTTCTCTGTAATTAAGAAGAAGAAAGGGTATGCAAATATATGCAAATTGGGAATAAACGTGGCAAAGCTTTTCACAGTTCGGAATTGGTATGAATGTGGAGCTTGAGGGCCCACCATTCTTTCAAAGGCATAGAGAGCACAGAGGCAGGTTAATAAAACCCATCCTTTACATTTGTAAAAGTTTTAGAAGTCTGAGTCATACCTTCAAAAATGACACCAGCCCACCTGCTAAATGCCTCCTACATTCTAGGTGGCCCAGGGCAATTTTTAGATAAAACCCACCAGTTCTCTAGTCCTCATACAGTGCAACCTTTGCACATTCCTGCGCGGAGCTGGTATTTGCCACGTGAAACTAAGGACTGCACCAGCCACATTCCTACACGCCCAGCAACACATATCCACAAAGCCTGCCTCTGGCTACAGTGCCGCCACCACCGTTTCCATTTTGGGCTTGCTGTCCCAACATTTTATCTCCTCCTTTTGGGGGAAAACTGTGCCTCAGTCTCCAGACTCTTTTCAGTCCCTCGCCCTCTTACTGAGACTGAAAAAGACTGCATACTGAGGTGGTCAAGCTTGGCTAAGCCAAGTTTAAAAACTTCAACAAAGAGGGATAAAGCATTTGGATAAGGAGGAAGAAAAAGAAGAGAGGCTGAATTCATGAAAATTAGCACAAAAGTTTTTTTTTTTTCTTCTTCAATGCTTACAGGAACGAACTTCCCAGCAAAAGATTCTGTTCTTTCAGAAAGAATTTCACAATCAGGGATAGTATTTAGAGAAAGTGCAACCAATGTCTGTGCCCTCTTCCCCATTTCAAAATGTATTTAATTATCCTATAGAAACTTTCTACTTCTGTTGATCTGGATATTTAAAACCAGCCCTGCATTTGTTTAAGATGCATTGTTTTGTCTCACAAGATGAGCTTGAACATATCCAAGAGCAGATCGTTGAGCTGGGCTTTGAAATCTTACTTTCTGTGCTACAGAATATAGACTAACAAGAGTTGGAAGGGCCCTTGGAGGTCTTCTAGTCCAACCCCCTGCTCAGGCAGGAAACCTATACCATTTCTGTATCATGCATTTTTCTGTTCTTCGCACCAATTTCACAGGGGATGCCTGAAATGCCCAAGATTCATTCATTTCATTCTTGAGTTTTGTATGAGCTTCTTCTGTTAAAGGTAACTGCCATGATCAATGCCAAATCAATATGGGTGCTCTGATTGGCTAGTTGAGGAATTCTGGGAGTTGAAGTCCACAAGTCTTAAAGTTGCCATGTTTGGAGAAGCCTGGCATAGAACTTTGCATTCCTGGATATTCCAAAAGGTTTGATAGCTCTATGATGCATAGCTTTTTGCAGAGAGCAATGGTGGTAGATGTTTACCATGGTAACATATGTCCCTTTACAGTGAGGACTCTTTCTCACATCTTCTCTACATACTTCAGTTTATAAAAGCACCTCTTCGTTAATATGCATTTATTATGTTTTATCAACAGGAATAAAATGCAAAATAGAGAAAACAGAAAAACATACGTCCAACAGTAACAACGAAAAATTGTGTACATCAAATAAGTCTAATGTTGAATATACAAAAAGATCCACCCCAGCTGGATCCTGGAAAGAAATTTTTTTTAAAAAAAATCCTGATAAATTCTCTTTCCCTTACATAATGAGTCTACAAATAATTATAAGCTTTCTCATCCTTATTTAACAAGAAAAAATGAATCATATCAACAAATTTCAGATGAGATCTCTGTCTAATAATCAAATCGACCCAATATCTAATTATAACATATATAAAAAAACAAAAAAAGAACAGTCAATAGGCTAACCCTCTTGATGCCTTTCAAGCTCTACACTGCAGAGCCTGAAACAAAATTAAACCTGACCTGCATACTTCCAATCTAAAAAAGCAACCACCTTCATTAATGCAGCCAACAACAATCTACGACTGTTTCCTCTTCCCTCCTCTTCCTTTTTCTTCTTAAGTTAACTTACACCCATTAAATTGCAAGGCTATGAGCAGGAACTGTCTGTGTTTAACCTTTGCACGGCACTCAGTAAATTTCAGGTGTTTATTGAGAAATAATGATAGCGGTTGTTTGTCTTGCATGCAATATGATTGTTATTTCTGTAGGCTGAGTTCAAAGTCTGCCTGCAAGGCCAAGCCCAGGACGGTGTTGACTCTTTCTGTAGGTCCTGACTAACTTCTCGTCTCCAAAGCTTTGGCTCCATTTTCTATAACTCACTGGCTGCCAATGACCTCAGACCTGGCGCTCTGCCATGGCCAACTACTACCAAATTGTGCCAATCCCAGCCATGCTTTTTCCTCCTGGTGCCAAATGGGGCCAGGCGGGGCCATCCGAGAGCCACCACCATTCTTGTCTCTGTGAATCACACACTTTGATTCTGAACGGGATTTATGAGAAGGAAGACTCAAGAGCTGGTTTAAAGCAGCAGGCATTTTCTGCAATTTCTTCCATGCCGTCAACAAGGGTTTTGAGATTCACTGGTTTTCCCACAACAACCTTCTCAGCCCAGCCGGGATTTTCAGTGCCAAAATCCTGGTGCATTTAGTTTCGGTTTGGCTTTTGGGTGACTTTACTGCAGCTTTCCCCAACTGAACAACCTCTAGGGGTGTGGAAACCAATTCCTCTAATTCTCATCCACGGTAACAACAGATGAGGAGGCAGATGGATAAGAGGAGAAGTTTCTTTGGTCAACCGGGGTAAAAAGCAGCCCCATCGTTAGCTGACCTCTGCTTTGATTCATCTCTTTGAGGTTAATGTATAGGTAGTCCTTTACTTACGCCCACAACTGAGCCCAAACTTTCTGTTGTTAAGCAAGACAGTTGTTAAGTGAGTTTTGTCCCATTTAATGATCTTTCTTACCATCGTTGCTAAGTGAATCATCACAGTTGTTATTAACATGGTTGTTAAGTGAATCCCCATTCCCCATTGACTTTGCTTGTCAGAAGGTCGCAAAAGGTGATCACATGACTCCGGGAGGTTGCAACCATCATAAATATGAATCAGTTGCCAAGCAGCTGGATTTTAATCATGTGACTATAGGGATGCTGCAATGGCCGTAAGAGTGAAAAACGGTCATAAGTCACATTTTACAGTGCCATTGTAACTTTGACTGCTCACTAAAGGAACTGTTGTAAGTTGAGGGCGACCTGTAGAAGTCACTTTTTTCAATGCTGTAACTTTGAATGATCACCAAGTGAACAGTTGTCAGTCAAGGACCAACTATAATTTG